TGCCGCTTGCGGCCACCCTTGGACTTGGGCCAGGCGCTCCACGGCTTCCAGCCGTCCTGCCAGCCCGCTGCCTGCTCACTCTGCAGCGCGGCGTGCAAGCGCATGTCCCAGGCCCCGCGCGGTTGCTGGCTGCGCCATGGGGTGACTGCCAGCTCGAGCGACTTGCCGCAGCTGAAGCACCTGTCTTTGCCCTTCCACGTCCAGTTGTACGAGCACGCCGCACACTTGACATAGCCAGGCTTGGACATGTCTGGTTAGGGATGGAGGCTAGCGAACCCCTCGCCCCAGGTACGCACTCCACTGGGAGCCGCTGGTCGCGCACTGGGGAACGAGGGACCTCCGTGAGGGATGAAAGCTGCCGCGGACTAGCGGTATCCAGTCTTGCCAATGCGGGCTCAGCCCGCGGAAGCATCGGTCTTGAGCCAAAATGGCTACGGCGACGACGACGACGACGACGACGACGACGACGACAACGACGACATCGACGAAAGCGATGATGCAGGCGACGACGACCACGACGACGACGACGACCATGACAACGACGACGACGACGACGACGACGACGACAACGACGACATCGACGAAAGCGATGATGCAGGCGACGACGACGAAGAAGACGACGACCACGACGATGTCGACGACGACGACGACGACGACGACGACGACGACGACGACGACGACGCGACGGTGGCGACGACGACGAGGACGGCCACGACGGAAGCGACGACGTCGAACACGACGACCACGACCGAAGCGACGACGACGACGACGACGACGACGACCGCGACAACGACGACGGTGGAGTCGGCCACGGCGGCGTCGACGGTGGCGACGATGTGGGGAGGATGGGACGGGGCGTGGGAGCTCGGGTGAGCAGATGGTCCATCCTTATCTTCCCGGTCCAGTTGCCCCAGGGAGGGTCGAGACCCGGTCCGGCCGCTGCCACTTGACGAGGAACCCCGAAACGGTTGTGTTGTGCGATGAATTAGTTGGCCTTCTGCGGGTGGCGTCAGGGATCAAGAATGCGGAGACGCAGGGTAGATCGTCCGACACCAGGCGTCGCGGAGACAGTCACGTCGAACGTTTTCTGTTCTCTCACAATCTCGGCGTCGGACAGCTGGTCCCGGGGGAAGGGGCCCACGTCGTGCCCTACGTATTGAAATATGGAATAGATTCACGGCGGCCAGGAGGGGCTTGGAAGGAAGATTAGGAAGAGGTGGCAGAGCCGGAGGATGAGACCAAGAAGCCCCCTCCCTGCCGTCTAGGACCCCCCCGTCGTCCTGCCTTCTAAGAGGCCTCCAGGAAGCCCTCGGGAAGCCCTTCCTGCTCCCTGGGCAGGGGGGGGGGGGGCTCCCCTGAAGCCCGCCCGCCCTCGAAGGGCCCCCGTCCCCTTCGACGAGCGCCGCCTGCTCCCGCCGCCCCTCCGTGCCCTGGGGGCTCTTCGGCCCGCCTGCCTTTCGTGAGCCCCCGTGCCTCGATGGCATGCCGCCGCCCCCCTCGCCCTCCGTGCCCCCCTCCCAGAGATCCGAGGGCACGATTTTTTCGATCCGGCGGTTGTTCCTGGAGTTCGGCCTCCGGGGCCCGCTACTCGGCCCGGGACCCGGGGCGGAAAACCACTCCCGGGGAAGGGGGCCAGGGCTTCTGTGGGGCCGCGGATCGAAGGGCGGACGCGTCTGGGAAATGGAGGGGGTCCAGCCTGGGGGGAACACGTCCTGGGGTGTCTCGGGCGGGCGGTATAATCCCAGACCCCCTCGGGCAATGAAGAATCATGACGGGAGGCGTCTTTGCTATTCTTGGCCCCTGGGGGGCCCTTACCGGCCCTCGCTGTTTTCGTGGCTGGTTTTTTGTTGGTTCCGTCGCCGTGTTTTCGCCGGTTCCGTCGCCGTTGTTTTTCCGTTTTCGGCTCCGGTTCCAGTTCCAGTTCCGGAGCCGTTCTTGTTGCCGTTTCCGGTTGCCGTGTTTTAGCAGCCTCCTCCGCGTTCAAGAAACATTTTTTTCGAAACGGTGAAAAAAGTCCGTGCTGCTCCCAGGGCCCCCTGCGGGCCAGCGACACCACCACCGCCAGCCGGCCCCGCCCAGCCAGGGGTGTCCGCGATGCCTCCCACCTAGACCCCCTCGGGCAGTGACAGAAGTCACGACGGGAGGTGTTGTTGTTGCTGTTGCTGTTGCTGTTGCTGTTGCGGTTGTTGTTGTTGTTGTTGAACATTATTTCTTCTTAAGAATAATTATTGTTGGGACCCCTGGTGCACGACCCCCCGCCGCGCCTAGGCCGCAGCCACATTTTCATCATTTTCGTGAGGAAGTCTCAGGCAAAACGATTGTGTCCGGATCCGGTTGTTTTGTTGTAGTCCGTTTTCCCTTGCAAAAAACACTATAAAATGAAAATTCTTGTTCTTACTTGATCAAATTGCAAGAATCCCTTGCAAAAAATAAGGTAAAGTGGACATTCGTGCGCGCAAGACGAAATCCTTCCAAAACCTTAGGTTTCGTAGCGATTTTAACATAAAAACATCAAAAACCCAATGGTTTTTTAAGAAAAAATTGTCAAAATGTCCTTCCGCGCGCGCTGTCCGAATCCCACAAAACCAATGGTTTTTCAACATTTATGTTACATGAGCTCGCGCGAGCTACTTTTTCTTGTTCTAACATAATCAAATTTCAATAATCCCTTGCAAAAAATAAGGTAAAGTGGACATTCGCGCGCGCAAGACGAAATCCTTCCAGAACCTTAGGTTTCGTAGCGATTTCAACATAAAAACATCAAAAACCCAATGGTTTTTCAAAAAAAATGTCCAAATTTCATCCCGCGCGCGCTGTCCGACTCCCACAAAACCAATGGTTTTTCAACATTTATGTTACATGAGCTCGCGCGAGCTACTTTTTCTTGTTCTAACATAATCAAATTTCAATACTCCCTTGCAAAAAAAAAGTAAAGTGGACATTCGCGCGCGCAAGACCAACAAAAAACACGACGATCTCAGGAACTTGCCCCAAAAATGTGACCAACTCCGCTCTCTCTGTCTCTCTCTCTGTCTGCTCTCTGTCTCTCTCTCTGTCTGTCTGTGTCATGTATTGTATGTCACAATTGCAGGATGCTGGGCACACGCGCGCCCCGAATAAGTGACCAAGTTCTGTGGGTGTGTACCCCACGCCAGTGTAGTAGCCACGGTCGTCCGCACGCCACGAAGTGAAGTGTCCCAACGTCATAGGGCGGGAAGCTGGGTTTGGGTGGTCGCGAAGAGTCGTTTGGATATTTGGTAGAGCTTGAACTGCCCCCCCACGAAGTGGGGGTATTGTCTCGCGTCGCATGAAAACCCTGGCACTGGTGAGAACACTGAGCGTTCGGGTAAAATGATTGTTGTTGTTGTTGTTGTTGTTGTTGTTGTTGGTGTTGTTGTTTTTGTTTTTGTTGTTGTTGTTGTTGTCACTGTTGTTGTTGCTGCTGTTGGTGTTGTTATTGTTGGTGTTGGTGTTGGTGTTGGTGTCGTTGTTGTTGTTGTTGTTGCTGCTGCTGTTTTCTGACTCTGGGGGCCCTCGCCGGGCCCTGGGGCCGTCGATGCGGGCATTACGTATACCCATGTCCAGAGCGTCGCGGACTTGTCGGGAAGGGGTGCCGCAAGGCCGAGGCACGCTGGATGATCATGGATAAACATCGAGCCTTCTCGGGCAAGACCTTGATCCAGATCCCGTGCGCCTCCGGCTTCTGGGGCAGCGAGCCCACAGCTCCAATCGGGTTGACCCAAAAGAGGGTCCAGCGACAAGGGGGTGGTGCAGTAGATTTCGTGCAATATATTTGTGCGGTTGCAATACACTTGGGGCGTGCAATACATTCCGGGGCGCAAATGTATTGCTGGCTCTTCGCGTGCAATACATTATTCGCAGTACAATGCAATACAATTCTCCGGCGAAACACACTTGCAATACACCTGCCCCAAATCTATTGCATGGGTCACCCAAATCCAAGACGCACCGGATGTGGATATAACTATTGCCCGCAGCCGAAGACACCGAGCCAGGACGAGGAGCCCGGTCCCCCGGGGGGGCGGGGCCAGACCTCCGAAGGGCCGACGCGAGGAGCAGATCGTGACGCCTGGGGTCTGGGCACGGGCCGGAGGGCCCAGCCAAGGCGTGTGCACCACCTCGGGCTCTTTGGCTCCAGCTTTTGTAAGTCAAGTCGGGCCTTTTTCCCTCTACAGGAGGAGCATTCAGAAATAGATCGTCGAACATGGTCGGGGGCGATGTGTTCAGCATGTGCCTTTCTGGCTCTTTTTTGTCGTTCCTCCAGAATTCGCCTGTCGGAGGACATGCCCGACCTATCTCCAGCTGCTGCTGCTGCTGCTGCTGCTGCTGCTGCTGCTGCTGCTGCTGTCGCACGCGTGCTGGAGTCATTGCTTGCTGTCTCAGAAGAAGCTGAGCAGGCCCTGAGGCTGGCGCCCAGCACGCAACCGCTCGCCTTCTGAGACAGAAGAACAGTCCCGCTGATCCTCGCTCGCCCACTCTGTCTGCCGCCCCATGCCAACTCAAAGGCCGCCCTCCTCACCCTCCGCAGCCCCTTGTGCCGCGTCGGGCCGGTGATAAGCGGTACAGTCGGGGCCCTGAAGAAGGAACCCTTTTCGTTGGGGAGGGGCTCTGTATTCCTTGATTGTTTCACAGCTTGCCTCAGGTTTCCTTTCTGTTTTCGATCGGAAATCGAAGTTTAACTTATGGGAAAAAGGGGCCTCGTTCCTTATTTAGGGTTCCTTAGGCCAACGCCCCGACTGTACCACCACCACCAGCCAACCCCGTCCGGCCAGAGGTGCCTCGGTCCGCCTCCCAGAGCCGGGCCTCTCTCGAGCGGGGCGCCGCACACATAACAGAGGGACCCCCACCACTGAGGACTCTCGCGAGCTCCTCGCGGGAGGAGGAGGAGGAGGAGGAGGAGGAGGAGGAGGAGGAGGAGGAGGAGGAGGAGGACGAGGAGGACGAGGAGGACGCGCCGACGGGCCGCGGCGCGCCGCGAGGTGATGATCGGCAGAAGCTCCCGCAGCGCCCGCAACAGCGTGCTCATCGCCCGGGGTACGGGCAGCCCCGAGCAGGTGCTGGACGCTTGGCCGGTGGGCCGCCGCTGGCGGCGGCGGCGGCGGCGACTGGCGGCGGCGGCGGCGACGGCGCGGCACCCCGACGGGGACCGCACCCGCAGGCGGCGGTGCAGAGGGCAGCGGCGGCGAGGGCGAGGATGACGGCGACAGCTCCGACGGCGTCGGCGTCGGCGGCGACGGCGACGGCAGTGGCGGCGCAGGCGGCCACATTGAGGGCGAGAACAGGGACGGCGGCGGCGCCAGGGACGAGGACGAGGACGACGTCGGATGCGTGGTTCAGGAGGTTTGGGGCGCTTCTGGAGATCAGTGTCCCCACATCTGGAAGCTGCTGGATCAACGTTCGCGAAGGTGGACCCCAGCAGGGATCCAAGGACCGATTTGAGCGGATTTCGGTCGGACGCTGACATCTGTCGAGGGCGACGCTGGCGACGACAACGACGAGGGCGTGGATGAGGATGACAGCGACGAAGGCGTCGAAGACAGTGACGTCGAGCGGGAACGGGAGGCCGAGGACGAAGAGGGAGACGGGAACGATACGGAGGAGCAGGAGGACCAGGGGGGCAGGAGGTCGGAGAGGAGAGATTATCTAGCAGAAGGGAGGGAAGAGGGATCAGGGACGAGGAAGAGGTCTCAGGGGTTTGCAAGGGCGGTGCTGCATAGGTGGTGCGGCCGCGGTGCGCTCGGTGATGTCTGAGGGCTTCAGCCAAGTGGGGAGGGGGGGGGGCGGGAGGGAGGTCACTGGAGGTTCCCGTGCAAACCTTGGAGATCTCCGCGGGGCTCCCGCGGTTCTCGGAGGGTTTCGGAAGTCTCTGGTGGCCGCTTGAGGTCCTGGAGGGCCCAGAGGGGGCCCACAACAACAGGACAACCCAGCGTGCTTCCTGGAGGACGCGGGAGGATGAAAGCGGGGGGGGGTCAGGAGGAGGAGGAGGAGGAGGCACACACATTCAATACTCAAGAGTCAAGACGTGGCGAGGCACGCTCGTGGCGCCAGGTCCCTAACGACAGCAACGACACACCCGAGGAGATGGCGACGAGGCGACGGAGAGAACACACGCAAGTCATTGGGGGCAACTGCACAGCGCCTGCTTGGGATGGGCTCTACTCAACGAAACTATGCGGGCATGCCGCTCGGCCTCATTTTTGACGCGTTGTGCAAGGCGATCTCAGGATCAGAGGAGGAGGAGGAGGAGGAGGAGGAGGAGGAGGAGGAGGAGTAAGAGAAGAGATCAGGGGGAAGGAGCAGGAGGATGAGGAGGAGGAGGGTCCGGGTACCCAGTCATATGTCCTATCCATCGGCATCACCTACCACGCTACCAAGTGTGACCTAACCAGCTGGGATCTGTGTTGTGTCTGGATACAGCGTTTGCGCGAAGGCAGAGTGGCAGCTCGACTTGCAAGACCACTCTGCGAGGCGTGGAACGCAGCCAGGACGATTGAGCCGACGAGACCAGACTCCCGAAGGGCACGAAGGGCAAGAGGGGTCGGAGGGAGGTGGAAGACGAGGCTCCACAGGAGCAGCAGGAGGTCTAGCAAGGAGCCTCTAATTTGATCCGACGCTCGTCGCAGAGTGCAATTCGTATTTCGATCATAGCTCGAGTAGCAGTCCGAGCTGAGGTCCCCGGGAACGAGAGGGAGAGCATGTTGGTCGCAGCAGCACGCGCACGGGCAGAGCCTCCAGCTCGTTCCGGGTCTCGAGACTTCTTGGATCGAAATACACCGCCCCGGACAACAGTGCCTTCAGTCTCCCCTGATGATGATATCTCCCCCAAACCAGATTGGAATCTTCTCGGCTCCAATCGGGGCTCAAGAGACGGGGGTCGATGTAAGCGGGGGTCAGCCAGAGCGCCGGATCTTGTAGGATCCTGCAGGGCCAGGGCTTCACTGACCCGGGCTTGCAGGCAGGATTCTGCAGGGTATCTGCAGGGTCCTGCAAGACCTTGCAGAGCTTGACTGACCCGGCTTTGGGCTGACCCGGGTCAGCAGATCCGCGATCCAAGCCCTATGCGCTATCGAACGGGATGCGCCCACGCGCGGAGCAGTTGGGAGCGGGTCGACTCCGATGTGCTCCGCGCTGATGCGCGATTGGCTCAGGCAGATGGAGAGAAACTTTCTTCACGGTGGTGTATTGCAAGGGAGGACAAGCACCCGGACCGGACAGTCGGCATTCACTACACGGCCTTGGGCGTCTACGAAACGGCCCTGCCCTGGTTGATTCCTTCTCGGGGTGCGTCGACTCAACGGCTTCGGGTGTCGGGGTGGGTATCATCGGGGTGGATGGTCAGCCCTCTACGGGGGCGTATTTTTGCGGAAGTCGACTAATGGAGAGGAAGCATGCTGCCAAATAATTTCCAGATGTCCAAAGGATGTTTCAAACATGTGTTAAATCTGTTTTACAAATAAAGTTTGAAACATTTGTTTAGAACATGTTGTTTACACATGTTAGACACATCTTTAATTCAACGATAGGATTGCTAGAGTGTCCATTGCCATGGCATCCACAAGCGTATTTCGAGGGTGGACAGACCTCCTACCCCGACACGTCGATTAAGGAATTGGCCGTTTTCGGTTCGCGAGAGGGCGTCGCGGCCGTCATTTTTGCGGGTCCAGGTCCCTCGGTTTCGGTCCCAGGCCGTTTTCACAAAGGGGAGGTCTACTAAAGGGAGGTTTGTCCACCGCCGAGTGTTTCGATACAGCAAGGATGTTTCTCGTGAGGGCAGGTCGCGGGCGGGAGGCCTCGGAGGGGCGGCTGTGGCCCCCCCCCCCGGGCCGCCCTCCGAGGTGGCCCTGCGCGCGGCGCCCCCCGGGACGCCGGGCGGCCCGCGGGAGCGGGCCCAACGGCTGGCCTCGCCCCTGCCCTTCCCTCCTCCTCCGCCTCCTCCTCCCTCCTCCTCCTCCTCCTCCTCCTCCTCCCTCCCTCCTCCTCATCCTCCTCCTCATCATCATCATCATCCTCCTTCCTCCTCCTACTCCTCCTCCTCCTCCTCCTCCTCCTCATGGGCGTTGGCAAGATGACCACGGACCTCTCGCCTTCTCCTGTGCCTCGTGGCCGCTTCTTTTCGGTTCCTAGCTCGCTTCTTGTCCGATTGCATCCCCTCGTGGTCAGTGCTGCTCCTCCTCGTTTTCCTCGTCCTCTTCCTCCTCCTGCTCCTCCTTCCCTCCTTCCTTCCTTCCTTCCTTCCTTCCTTCCCCCCCCGCCTTCGCGCGCCTGTAGAACGTGGGCCACATCCGCGCGAGGGGCTCGCTCCCAGGTGCGTCCCAGATCCCGTGATTGCCGACGTGCGTGCGGGTGAACCCCCCTTTCTGGGTGGCCAAGCAAGCCTGAAGTCGGGCGTGTCTTTCTACAGGAGGAAGATTCCCAAATTGTCAAAACAGAACATCGGGACGATGTTTCTAGCACTGTTGACTTGAATTAAGTATGTGTCGGATGTCCGCGCGGACATCCTCGATTGGCGCGGCCTCGCAGTGGCTCCACGAACGCCGAGAGAAGCTCCAAGGCCCTGACCTTGCATGCGCCTGTTTTTGTCTGTCTGTCTGTCTGTCTGTCTGTCTGTATGTATGTATGTATGCATGCATGTATGTATGTATGTATGTATGTAAGATATCAGAGTTTACTTGCATGGCGTTCACCCACAAACAAACGACAACTAGCATGCAGGTGCCTTTTCGACCTGCGTGAGTTCCGCACGTGCAAGTCGTTTTGCGTCGCTTGCTTCAGGTTCAGCCCCTCACCGTCCATGCAAGTAATCTTGCCGGAGTCTAGAGAATCAGGTTCCATCCTGAGCGCGCGTCCTTATTAGTTATGCGGGGTTGAATGCAAGTCGGGGGGTAAAGGCACAGACAAAGAATCGCCGATTTCCCAGGACAGCATGGGAACAGAACACATGCGAAGCGGGGTGGGGAAGGGCGCGTGTCCAGAGAACACGGAAGAATCAACGGAACCCTCGGATTGTTGTGTCTATCTGTTTGTGCGTCCTTGGGCGCCTTCAGCACTGGGGGGTGCAGTGAACGGGGGCGGGGGGGAGAAAAGGGCCCCGAAGGGGCCTGTTGTGAGTTCCCTTTGTGAGCCAGTAGGAGCCCCAGAAGGGGCCCTGCAGGGCCCCTTTTCTTCGCCCCCCATTCGGGCCACCCCCCAGTTGCCACCCAGGGGTGGACCCAAGCGGTGTTCTGGCGATTTCGTGGGCCGTTCTCGTGTCGGTGTCGTTGTGCAGCAGAGGCGGAGTCAAGACAGAACGAGGAACAACGGAAACGAGAAGCACCGTTTAGGTCCAGCCCTGCTGCCACCCCCCCGAGAGCCGTGAGATGGGGGTCAGTGCAAACCGGGGTCACCCAGAGCGGCGGAGCTTGCAGGACTCTGCAGCGCCTGGGCCGCTCTGACGTCCTTCCTTCCCCCCTCCTCCTTCTCCCCAGACCCCCTCGAGTCGTGCAAAAACGAGGAGGAGGAGGAGGAGGAGGAGGAGGAGGAGGAGGAGGAGGAGGAGGAGGAGGAGTAGGAGGAGGGAGGAGGGAGGAGGGAGGAGGAGGGAGGGGATGGAAGGAGAAGGAGGAGGAGGAGGAGGAGGGATGAGTAGGGAGAGAAGGACCCGTGCCCGGCCTCGGGGCTGCCAGCAAGACGGCTCGGGGCGGCGAGAGCGGTCCCGGGGAGTGTGTAGCGGGACCTCTGGGGGTTCAACGTTCTACTTAAGCACGACGTCGGGGGTCTGGGTCCGACCCTCCTCTCCTCCTTATCCGCCCTCCTCCCTACCCGCCCCAAACTCCCCCCTCCCCCGCCCTCCCCCGCCCCAGCCCCTCCCTCTCCCTGGCCCTCCCCGCCCTCCATGCTCCCCCTCCCCCCGCCTCCCATTCCCACCCTCCCCGCCCTCCCCCCACGCCCGCCCTTTCTCCTCCAACTCCGCCCCCCCCCCTCCCCCCAGCTCTCCCCCGACCCCGCCCCCACCCTACCCACTTCTCCCCCCCGCCCCCTCCCACCTCTCGCAGCCCGGGGTTCCTCCTCGGGCGCCGCCCCCCCGGGGAAACAGAGACTTCTGGTGCCACTTCTCCTCGGACCGAGGTGCAAGATCGAGGTCGGTTCGGGGAGGGAACGAGGGAACCCTCGTGTGTTTCACGCTTGTTGGATGTTCTTGTGCATCCTTCGGGGAGGGCGCCCTCGAATGCTCTTCAGTTTGCGCCGAGGGTCTCATGTGTTCTTGAGGGGTGTTTTTCTGTCTTGGGTTCGACTGTGCTCCTCGGCCCTCTCCCCGGGTGCGCTCTCAGCAGGTTTTCGAGGAGAATCCGGCCCTGGCGATGATGGTTCTCCAGGACGAGCAGCGGTATCCGTATCGGTTCTCCTTTGACCCCCTGCGCCAACAATGTCTGGCCCCTCCACACCCACCCACCCCTCGGGAGGAAGGGGAGGATGAGGATGACGAAGATGCCGAGGAGGCGGAGGAGTCCGAGGAGGAGGGGGAGGAGTAACGATGGGAGGAACAGGAGGAGGAACAGGAGGAGGAAAAGGAGGAGGAGGAGGAGAAGGAGGAGGAGGAGGAGGCGGAGGAGGAGGCGGAGGCGGTGAGGAGTAGGAGTGAGGAGAGAGAGAAGGAAGGAGGAGTCCGAGGAGGAGGAGTAGGGGAGGAGAGGGAGGATGAGGAGCAGGAGCAGGAGCAGGAGCATCAGGAGGAGGGGAGGAGGAGGAAGTAGGAGGAGAGGAGGAGAGAGAAGGAGGAAGAGGAGGAGGGGGTATGACAGGAGGGGAACATGAGGATGGGAGGATGAACAGGGGTAGGAATACAGGGGTCGAGGATGAACGGGAGAGGAAAACAGGAGGCAGACGAGAGGATGGCAGACGAGTCATGTGCGAGCAGAGGGGATGAGCAGGAGCCCAGGAGGCAGGAGAGGAGGCACAGGAGGAGGTGGAAGAACGAGGAGAACAGGAGGATGAACGTATTCGGCGTCCTGCCTAACAGGAGGAGGTAACAGGAGTTGCTAGGAGGAGGAGGATGAGAGAGAGGAGGAGGAGGAGCAGGAGGAGCACCACCCCTCAGAGGCGCCTCGACCGCCCCGGCCCCGGCCGCCCTGCAGCCGCAGCAGGGCTGGGCGGCGCGGGCCTCGGCCGCCGTCACCGCCCGCCGTCGTTGTCCGCGCCGCCGGGGCACGCGGCAGGGGCGCGTCGGCATCGTGACCTCCTCGCTCCTCCTCCTCCTCCTCCTCCTCCTCCTCCTGCTGCTCCTCCTCCTCTTTCCTCCCCTCCTGCTTCTCCTCCTCCTCCTCCTCTTCCTCCTCGCCCCTCCTCCTCCTCCCCACTCCCCCCCTCCTCCTCCTCCTCCTCCTCCTCCTCCTCCGCCTCCTCCTCCTCCTCCTCCTCCTCCCTCCCTCTCCTCCTCCTCCCCTCCTCTCTTCTCCTCCTTCCTCTCCTTCTCCTCTCCTTTCTCCTCCCCCCTGTTCCCGCCCCCTTTTCATCCTCCTGTTCCTCGCCGGTTTTTCCTCCTCCCTCCTCCTCCTCTGCTCCTCCTCTTCTCCCCTCCTCCTCATCCTCCCCTCCTCCTCCTCCTCATCCCCTCCTCCTCCTCCTCTCCTCCTCCTCCGCCTCCTCCTCCTCCTCCCCATCCCCCCTACCCCCTCCCCTCTCTCCTCCTACCCCTCCTCCTCCTCGGCCTCCTCCTCCATCCTCCTCCGCCTCCTCCTCTCTCCTCCTCCTCCCCCCTCCTCCTCTCCTCCTCCTCTCTTCTCCTCCTAATCCTCCTCCTCTCCTCCCCTTCCTCCCCGTGTTAGTTCCTCCCCCTGTTCTCCTCCTGTTCTCCTCCCGTTTTTCCTCCTGCGCGTTTTCCTTCCCCTCCCATTCTCCTCCCCTCCTTACTCCTCCTCCTCCTCCTCCTCCTCCTCCTCCTCCTCCTCCTCCCCGCTCTTTTTCTCGTCGTCCTCCTCCTCCTCCTACCTCCTTCCTCCTCCTCCTTCCTCCTCCTCCTCCTCCTCTCCTCCTCCTCTCTCTCCTCCTCCTCCTCCTCCTCCTCCTCCCCCTCGCTCGCATCCTGCCAGGATCTGCACGCACGAAATGTGTACTGAAAGAATGGGTACAATGCCCAACAGCGGATCTTGTTCATTTTGAGCAGGGCTCGCTGTCCACGCCGCCGCGGCCTGTGTCCATTCGAGACAGGAGGCCGCCTGCCCAACAGCGGCCGCTGTTGGTTTGGGACAACATTTGCTGTTGGGCATTGTACCCATTTTTTCGGTACCCAATTCTGGCGTCCAGACAGGATGCTGCCCCCCTCCAGGGCGCGCTCCGCTTCTTCCGATCCGGTTCGATGCCGATGTCATATGTCGGCGGCTTTCGATGCCGATTCGATTTTCTTTCGGATTCCGGTGTGGGCTCCGAGTTCTCAGTGGATAGGGGAACGAAGAATGACATAAACATAACAACTCGGAGGTCCGCGCGGATTTTTCGGATCCGCG